CACGAGATATGTTTTATGAAATGATATGATCAGATGATGTTTTATTACAAATGTTCTGCAAATCATCTATTTAAAAATAAAATTTTTGGACGTGAAAATTGGGTCGTTACAAACTTCAAAAAAAATTGGCTTAATCTAGACAAAATTGCCTAATGGGATTAGCTAAAAAACTTGGCTTAATGCATTAAGATAGTAACACTTTACTATTTGCCCTTATTCTTTTTGTCATCCCAACTCCCCTCACTTTAAATTAATTTATATCATATAGTTTTGATTCATGTTTTAAAAAACATGAATTATATGATTTAATAAATCTTTGAAACAGATAAGTTACAACTCAATAAATAAAAATTATTGCCGGTAATTAATTGGGTTAATGACAACCAATAACACGAAATTTGCTCTTTAGGTCACTAAACTTTTTTTTCTAAGTTCCCATTACACCGTAACAATGAATTTCAATCAGATAAATATGTCATACCGGATGATGTTACAATGGAGGCAATCTTAATGTATTATGTAAATTCGGTTCAAAAAGGAAAGTCTTTATGCATACAACACTGTATCATGACGACAAACAACATTATTGATTAAGCCAATACCCATTTGGCATAAACGGGTTAGAATATTTTTTTTTCTTTGTTTTTTAATTATTTTTGGTTGTAGGCATGGATAATTTATCAAGAGGGCAGGTCGGTGGAGCTAATTGATGAGAATTTAAGCGAGTCGTGCCATTTATATGAAGTGTTGAGATCAATTGAAGTGGCCTTGTTATGCGTTCAAAGAAACCCTGAAGATAGGCCCAACATGTCTTCAGTGGCAGTGATGCTCAATAGTGATAGTCAACTGCCACAACCCAAGCAGCCTGGTTTCTTGTGCACGGAGCATGTCCCTCGGCCTCAAGATGACATGTCATCTACCACCCGTGCACCCTCTTCAACTACTGCAATCATCATTACACTAGTACATGGTCGTTGACTATATATATATATATATATATATATATATATATATATTATATATATATATATATATATATATATACTAGTTTATAACCCGTGGTAACCACGGTTACAAAATTAATTAAACATTCATAATAAAATTTAATAACTATTAATCAATTATTTTAAATAAATAATTTTAAATAAGTTATTAATTATTAATTATGAAATATATCAAATTTTTTAAAGTTATTATAACTTCAAAATTAACATATAATTAGAAAATGTAAATTTTAATTTTGAAGTGAGTTACCTAATATATCTACATAACAAATGACATAATATTAATGAGGGTGTTGTATGAGAATGACACTTGGCAAATGGAGATTAAAACTATTCTTTTATTAGAATACTAGTTTATAACCCGTGAAACCACGGTTACAAAATTAATTAAACTTTAATAGTTAGAACACAAAATTATTAATCAATTATAATCGTTAATATAAATAAATATGTGAAATTATATTACCTTATAATTTGTATTAATTTTATTTTAATTTTTATTCCATTGCTATTAGTTTATTGTAATTAAAATGAAAATTTTAAAATTTGAAATAGATAACTAATAGGTTGACAAGTGGCATGCATTAATTAAGAAGTTTAATAGGGTGACACATGGCAAAAAAAGAATAAAATTTGTATTAATTAAGAGGCCTAATATGATGACACATATCAAAAGGAGATTAAAACTATTTTTTTATTAGAATAAGGATATATATATATATATATATATATATATATATATATATATACACACACACTAGCCGTTTACCCGCGCCAAGTGACGGGTGCGGATAATTACTTTCAAAAATTAGTTTCTATAGGCGATTAGTTATTTTGTGTAAATAATTTATTACATCTAAACAATTATCAATAATTGACATGCTAGCATATAAAGGAAATCAATAATAATTAAAAATGAAAATTTTGGATTGTTTACAAATGTAATGAACGCATGATTGATTGTACATTATTAATCGTGCAACATTTCTTTGTACACCATATTTGATGTACACTTCACTGTCGTTAAATTGTTCGTCAGGCTTCACTAATAATTTCGTCTTTTTTTTTTTGCATGTTGGAAAAATATTTTCATATATTGGATCTATTGTGTCGAAAATAGATCATTTAGATTTCATGATAACATATTTGATTCCAAAGAACACAAAGTGCATTATAAATACCATTCACCATTTAAATATATTGTAAATGTATGTAATAATTGTATGGTATTTTGGATATTAATTGTTTGTTTGAATTGAACATCATAACCAATTAATCCATGTCATGTTTGAAAGTAAGTTTCTAGTAGATGCATGCATGTGCAAATAGGCGACAGTGAAAAGGTTATTTTTGACTCATAACTTTCTTTCGATGAACAGCTCCTGTCGAAACATGTCGTATTCAGACTTATAACCAATTCATCGACTTGCAAGTCTGTTGTCGCTTGGGTTTGTAAGTTTCATTCTTTTGCTTGTAACCGTGCAATGCAGCGGAATATGAATCTTGTTGTAAAAGATTTTGAGTGAGATTAGTTAATTGAAACTGAACTTGTAATTTATTTTGCTCAAACCCTATGTTGTAAGGCTTTTGATTTGAGTCTTTAAGAATTGTTATGTAAATAAATTATTTATTTATCATCTCGTATACACCACCTAATGAGACGAATGATATACTTTTATGATCTACTAATAGTTACTTAAATTAATATATGATGTCAAATGACACCAATCATATATCATGTATAATCATTCTAAGAAAAAAATTTATAAGATATAAATAACTTAACACATTTAATTCAACATCTACTATAATAAATAAAGGTTTTTTGCCACATGTCTTCTTCTCATTCATTTGGACACATGACATTTTTTAGAATTTTTAAATTTTCTATTTTCCACTTGTCATTTTATTGTATTTTTCATTTTATTAAATTAAAATTCCACATTTAATATATAAGATAATATATATGTAAGGTATTTATTAGAAAGGGTATATATATATATATATATATATATATATATATATATATATATATATATATATATAATGTATTCAATACATTAAAGACTCATTAATTTTAATAATTCAAAAAATTTCTCATTTTTCTTATTAATTCAAAATTTTCAAATTGTTAAAATTTTAAATTTAATTTTTTTAAATAAACTCATGTAATACATGGATCTCACACCTAGTTACTTATTATTTGTTGAACTTTTATTTATTTTAAGAAATGAATGTAATTGATAACAAAACCATTGAAAATATCTCGAATTTACCCATTTAATCAATCCTATATCGAATTTCCCATTTTGTATGGTCCATGAAAAATAATATATTTCTTAAACACATTATTAGTAATACGACTGAATGGTTATAATCTAATGGTATAGAAAGATGACAATCAATAAAATACAAACACGCACAATATTTATTTATTTTCCTCACTCCAATATCGCCTATATTAGAAACAAATAAAGAATAATATACTTTGACATAAAAAAGAATTACATGATTTTAGCATATTTCAATAAAGTGAATCAAATTATTGCAGATAATATCTAACAAAATTCCTCCATTCTCATGTATGTCACCCAAAATTAGCATTTGTCTTGTAATCTTAGCTATAATATCAACAACTGCTCCATCGTATACATTGTCCAAATTGATGCTCTTTTGTAATCATCTTCATCTTTTCTAATTATTAATTTTCTATCGGGGGCAAAATGGTAAAAAAAAAAACTTAGATTTGAAATTCCCCTCTACGATCAATTATAAATTAAAATCAAATACCATGACAAATCTATATTAGCCGACCCACTGCTTCGATTTCAATTGATGTCACTGCCTCATCCCTCTTTTGCACTCTATTGGTGCTTCTTGAGACCAAATAATGTCCCTACAATAGGAAATTAACAAAAATAGAACAAAAAGTGGCATGTGAGAACGCCTTTCTCTTTTTAGAAAGTGTGTTTGTGTTTTGACTCAACTAAAAACAATCCCAAATTAAATAAGAAAAATCCATTAAACTCTAAAAAAATACAAATACTAAAAACTATGCAAGAAAGAGGACAAATTTGACTTGTTTCATTCTTTTCATTTGCTTCTGAACACACATTTAGAAAAATATTTGTTAAAAAGGACGTGCATGTGTATTCTACTTCAAAAAGACCATCCAATGTTTGGAAAAACTTCATCATTTATAACCGTTGTTATTGAGATTTGGAAAAAAGTTGGCATACAAAGATCAATAGATCATGTCTTCCAAGTTTTGTAGGGTAAAGGTTACACTTTGCATCCTTGCCAACTGAACAGGTATCACAACCAATATGGATCAATCTTGGCGGGATTTTTCTATATATACGATACTTGTTTTAATGTAAAGAATAAGAAAAATATAAGAGTTATAAGATCTGGAATATAATTGAAGAGATTTGGATCATGGGTTTCTAAGAAATCTTAATCTGGCTCGAAAATGGTGTTTCATTCAGATGGAAAACTAAGTAAGAAAATTTATTTTGATAGAATATATAGAAGAGAAGTATACCTTGAGGTACCAAGCTAATTCTACACTAAGAGATGTTTTACCAACACCTTGTAGACCAACCAGTGGGGCGGATTCAAGGCCACTGATTGGGTGACCAAACATCTCTGCTCTGAGTGGATACTTTTGAAACCAACTCTTATTTTTGAACTGTTGTAAACTCTAGTCCAACTGTGCCTAAGTTTTGGCTTCCAACGGTCTCTTGTGCTTTTTCAACAACTAATTGTAAGTGTTTCCCTTGTGCTTATATTCGAAGCTGTAAGTGTCTCTGTACAATGGAACCATAAACATTTCTATATTTTTTGAATTATCACTTGTACCTCAAGTTGTTCATGTATCCTTCTTTGAACTTTATTTTGCATCTGTATTGCTTCACTTATCTGAATGGATGTTTGTATCATTAATAAGCATTAGAGGGGTACACATTAAGAGATGTTTGTATCATTAATGAGCATCTATATTGCTTCACTTATCTGTAAATTTCTTGCTGAGAATAGAACGCTTATAGCAGCCAACCAACAATTTGAAATCACATTGATACGGTTTCTTGCCATTAGAGTATTATACACAACCATCAGTCATCAGAAATTCAAAATTAAGGGATGTATTTTTGGAGAATAAATAGAGGCATCTATTAAATAAATTCCACAAACGCAAATTTATAAACTTAAAATTATCAGTAAACTGCTACCTATTCCTGGTGTTGAATAGTTGTTGCAATACATGCACCATTGACCATAGGTGAATTAGAACTAATAAAAAAAACTCAAGTAAGTTTAAGACTCAGAAAAATAAAGATAATAGATGTCTGAACCCAACAGACATTTCATCGAACATTTGACGTGCACACCTAATGTATCAAAGCAGATAAGAAAATCTTGGAAAAATGGTTAAACCAATTACCTCAACTACTAAAAAATGTAAGAACAAAACTTAAATTTTGAAGATTGAACAATATCAAAAGAGTAAAATCTTACTTCCGAGTTCTTAGATATCCGATTAGAGATGAATAACTTGATTTACAAAATGACTGGAAGCTACTTGGGTTTGATGGTAACCTGTAAAAAATTATCATGTAACCTATAATAAAAAAGATAAGCAAATATCAAAATCTATGAAGCTACCTGGGATTACTAATAAAATGATGCTAATAGTTCAAAAATGCAAAATGAAATCAACAAATCCTGGATTTGTTCCTCACTTTTGTGGATATTCATAGCCCTAGACAGAGAAAGAAAGGGTGAGTAGTAGTGGTTTGTGTGTATGTGCCAAGACAAACAGAGAAAGAAACCCCTAGCCATCCCAACTGGTCCAGCCGATGCAAAAGTCCTGCACTTCAAACTCAAAATTTAAAAAAATAAAATAAAATAAAATAAAATCATGAAAATAACAGCCTGATACCTCGACTTTTCTACACCCTCGTCGAAACCTCCAAATGTCAACTGACTTTTATAATTTTCAGGGACTTGGAGATGATTAGGGAAAATAACAGCCTGATGCCTTGACTTTTCTACACCCTTTTCACCACAACCAGATACCTTCAGGGATCCAATGTGTATTGTCCATAGATATTTCCATATGCTCAGACCCATTCACTTTTACAGGCTCATGTAATAATTGAGGAGGCTGGTTATCCTTATTGGGACTGACAGCCGATAAAGAAAGAGGCTTCAGAGATCTCAATTCCTTCAACTACATCAGAATTTAGTTGTCTTGCATTGTCAGAATCTACAGCTTCTACAATGACCGGAATGGAATCAACACTGACCTTAATTCCAGTTCCAGCTGGAAGTCTGGAATTTGATTTAGTAGAGCCACTGCATTTTACAATCTCACATTGTATAGTACCAACAGCACAAGTGATCTTAGAGGAAACCACAACAGTATCTGAAGTAGAAGATGATTCAGGTGCAAGTGCAACCTTATCACTGTAGCTCCCATTAGATACAGCCAATGTACCATTGCCATTGGAAACAGAATTTGCCACATGTGCACCATTGTTTACGTTTCCAGAATCAACTGTAACGATTAGCCTTGAATCCCTCTCTTGGTGATTAGTAACACCATATCCCTTTCTGTATTGAATTTCATAATCAAAGCCTAGGAGTTTCAATAGCCATTTTTGTTAGAAGGGAGCAGACAAGCAATTCTCTAAAATGTGTTTTAGGCTTTCTTGATCAGTTTTGACTTTCGATGATGAAGTGTCTATCCAAAAGATATTGGCTCCACTTTTGAACAACATGGATAATCACCAACAACTCCATCTCATAAGTGGATAAGGTAAGGTTTTGTGGTGAATGAGTCTTGCTAAATGCTAATGAATGCAATTGGGTGGCCTTTTTGCACTAATGCAACACTTATACCAATTCTAGAAGCATCTGTTTCGATTGTGAAAGGTGAGTTGTAGTCAATTGGAATAAACCATAGCTTCTTTTAGTGCATTGAAAGCTCCCTCTGCATTTTATCTCAACTGAAACCATCTTTTTTTAATAACTGAATGAAGGGTTTATCAATAATGCCATAGTTTTAAAAAATCACGATATTACCCCCGTCAAACCCAAAAAAACTCTCAACTGATTGAGATTATGTGGTGTAGGCCAATCAACCACAACCTTTTTCTTGTTTGGATCTGTAGATACTGTTTTGAGTAATGATATGCCCCTAATCTGCTATTTAACCAGGTGAATTAATGGAAGAATAATCCATGGAATTAGATGGTGTGAAGGATCCAAGAGTAGAGAGACATTGGGGAGAAATAACTTTTTAATTCATAATCATAACTCAGAAAATAGAGTTGATATATACTCTATTACAATGGGAGAGGAATACAACTGATTACTGATACTATCTAATTGATCCTTTCTCACCTTGTTGGCTACCCCACTCACAAGGAATTAAATAATAATAATTAATAATGCATACATACAAGTGCCACGTTAATCTTCATCTAAACGTGATCAACTATGAGGTCTATTTGTTTTCACCTTGTTAGCTTCCTTAGGATCCATATCACAGTCTTTGACGTTGTGTACACGAACCCATCGATGTTCTTGGATCCTATGGTCTTTTTGATTTCTTGAATTACCATCCGAGCGTTGTGCGGAATCGAAACCCTAGTGACGCCGCCGCCGCTCATGGTGAAAAAGTGAGGCCAACAAGGCGCTGAAGAGATCTGCCTCTCTTGTGGCATACCATCCGAGGTCAGGTGGCGGCGGTGGCGATGGTGGAGGCGCTGAGACATTCAGCAACGACGCCAAGAGAGAGACGGTAGAGCTTCGGTTTGATTTGGTGAGTATCGATCGATTCTGAAACGATTAGTAAGGAGACGGAAAGAAGAGGGTTTCGATTGTTTTGTGAAGTGTTGTGTGTAGAGAAGATTAGGTAACATCTTCGATAAGGTAATACCGTGTATATCTTATACACATCTGATCTGAGTATGATTATAAGATATTACCGTAAGATATTTTACCTCTTAATTTTCAAGAAACAGGAAAAAAAAAAAAATATATATATATATATATATATATATATATATATATATATATATATATATATATATATATATATATTTATTTATTTATTTATTGTAATAAATGAAAATATTTTCTCATCATCTTCTTAAGCATTTGATCACATATCATTTTCTTATAATTTAGATTTTCTTCTCACATGGCCTACAAAAATCACACATCATATTAAGGAAATCACGTCAAAATATTGATTCCTATGAGGATTAATTTTTGGGAATGATTAGGTTAATTTCATATGATTTTAAATTAAATTTTTAAAAACTATTATGATTTGTAGGCAAATAATATGGAACGAATCTTTCAAATTAATTTACAAATCATCCATGCAAAAAAGATTTTAAACTTAAATGGAAGCTAATTTGAAATCCATATCCTCAAAATATCCGTAATTTTGAATGATTTCCAACCCGTTTGCGTGAATCAAGGAGATGATGAAGGCTTATTTCAATTTTCAAATTCCCTATTCACGTTCACTTCTGGATCAAAATTGTGATCGTATTTTCCTCTCGAGGTCGAGGGTTCTGACAGTTGACGCTTCAATTTTCCAAATCGTCATGTATCATAATCCTTTCCAGATTTTAATTCCAATTTATTGTGTATATAAGAATTCGTATTTATTTCATTCTTTCATCTCAGTAGGTCGATTACTTTGGTTGAGTTTGAGAGTTTCATCTACAAAAACATCATCAACTCTAGCAACAACTACACAAGGTTAGTAATTCCATTTTTTTTTTTTTTAATGTTTACAACATCATTTTTCAAGTTTTGACTTGAAAATGTTGTGTAATTTCATGCTTTTCATCATGCTCGCTACATGTTCAATGTAATGCCAATGTGTATTTAATAATGGGGCAATCTGAATTCTTGTATTGAGGAGTCTCATTTACAAGAAATTTTGAGTTTTTTAGTTAAAATTACATTTTCGACCTTTTTGTACAAATTACATGTCTTGCCCATTCTAAATTCATTTACTCATATCTATGAACTCACATGAGTTACTACACTTGAAGGAGGGAAGTTTCATTTATTTGAGATTTTTGCAAGAAAATTTGATTTCAAATATGTCAATAAGAATTCTTGTATTGACCTCACTAATTTCCTAGAAAGTTTAATATTTTGAAATTTTTAGTAAAAATGACATTTTTTACCTTTTTCATCAAAAGGTGTAAGAATTCTTGTATTGGGCAACGGAATTCATGTATTCATATATGTGAACTAAACTGACACAAGTATATTACACTTAAATGAAGTAAAGTTTTATTTTGTTTGAGTTTTTTTTTCAAGAGAGTATGATTTCAAATATGTCGGTCTGAATTTATAAAAGATCTCATTTGTTAGGAATTTTTAACGGTATATAACTCATCTTCCCAATATTATGTTCATATTTATGATTTTTATATTACTTCTAGCGTGCTCAATATAATCTTTAATGGTAGACTTCAACCTACCTGTTAAGACGTTGGTAATTAGATTATAAACATTGTTTATAACCTGATTTTGAATCATTTAAGACACGTTGTTGATTGGTCACTATTCAGTAAGCTTTCCTCATACCAAAAGTATTATTATTTTCTTTAAGGTTAACTAAATAATATGGTTATTGTTTAGTTCATACCCCGTAAAATAATTATAAATTCTTTAGTTTGGTCATTTGTGTCACTTTAAACCGAACAAAAAACTTTATAATGATAATAATTCCATGGTATGTTTTTCTTTTTTTCCCGTGTCCTTTTATCTATCGTTTCAGATTTGCCAGCTTTATAACCTGATGAAGGATGAAGGATGCCTTACAGATGGCATAAGCACATTGGAGAATACATGTGTGCACAAACTCATGTTTCATGATCTGGTTGTGACATTACTAATATCAAGTGGTGAAAGATAGCATCTGGAATGTCTGAAAACTTTACAACCCGAAAACATTCATTATATGTACTATGATGCATTTTTAAGCAGTGTTTGTTTTGTGGATTCCGATGGAATTGGAATATGAGATTCTTTTCCATGGCATCCAAATGGACAAAATTAATTTTCATTAGGATCCTTTAGGTTGTATGTTTGATGGATTTCATTCATAAAGTTGGATGGAAGGAATTCATTTTTATTCTCTTATTTTCTTAAAAAAAAGAAAAATACAAAAATACCCTTACCTTTTTGTAGTTGGCTATGTTTGGAATGGAATTGAGATGGTGATCAAGATTTTGAGTTTTGAAATGAATATGAAGCAAGAGTATATGTGAGCATTTGAGTTGTAAGACATAAACAACAAATTTACGTCCATGGGAGCTTTGAATGATTTTGATAACTTGGAATATTGATTATGTATATAAATGGGTTGTTGGCTTTTAATTTGTTTTAAGTCGTGAGTTGAAAGTCTTTCAACGATAATCGCTTGAAGAATATTGAAACATGAAAAATGTTCCAAAATATGTAGATATGAATTTTTTGTTGGAATATATAAAATCTTTTTCGACACATATTGAAATTAAGAAGGGTTGTTGTTTTCCTGTTTAATTATTGAACATAATTATTTCAATATTTCAATAATTTTTTTAATATAGATTGAATTAATTAATTAATTGTTATTCATTTGTATTTATTTGAAATTTTTGCTTTAAAATGATTAATGTTTTTACTTTCATATTTAATTTTTTAAAATCAACCCGCATAATACACGGGTTTCACACCTAGTTAATTAATATATGAAATTCTTTTGTTTTAGATGTTTAAAAAGTAAGAAATAACTTTAAGGAAAGCCAACCGGATGTTAACGTGGAGACTTTTGACAAGTTAGTTATGCTTAGTCATTAGGCTGTAGGGAGTGGTGTCACCGAAACCGGACTCCCTTCACCTTCATATAAGCGTTACGTCACTTTTTACCACTGTGGTTTTTTTTACTACACCAAGGGAGTGATGTCACACTTTTATTTTCTTTTTTTTGTTTTTTTGTAACTATTTTAATTTAATAAAACTTCTTTTTTAATAAAAAAACATAATTTTAAAAAGATAATATTTCATTAATCAAAAATACAAATACCATACATAACTTAAAAAATACCCTAAAAATTTAGAAAAGCAATTTAGAAACATAAAACCTATAACTTATTAAAAAAAAACACCAAACAATTAAAAACTTGAAAAAAAAAAACCACAACTTATTTATAAAAAAAAATAAATAAATAAAAAAAATAAACTAAAATAAAAAACACACCAAACGATTAAAATCTTGAAAAAAAAAAACTAGAAGTTTGCGTAACGTTTTTTCGCTTCCTCCTCATCGTCAAAATAAGTTGAAAGAAGATATTTTTGAAAAAACATATTGAGGAAGAGATAGTAAAAAGATAGGAAATTATTGTGAAAATTTTATAAGTAATGGTATGTATATATAGGGTGAATTTAAAAAATAAAGAAAAATAAAATAAATAAAGAAATTACCAGCGCAAGGACCCAAATAAGCAGCAGCCAATCAAGAGATGCGGTCAAAACTCGGCACACTGCGACAAAAACCGCATGAAACCGTACCCAGGGGGCGGTGTACGCGGTCTAGCTAGCAAAACTGCGGTCCAATCCGCACAGCCTTATCTTAACCTCTAAAACCAAATAAAAAAGTAGAATATTGATATAACTAACGGGTCTAGACTAAAAAAATAAATATATAAATATATAATAAAGTACCTTTTAAAGCAAAGCCGAATAAATGATATTGCCCGCTTACATCCATAAATTTGATTATTTCGATCATAAATAATTGAAAAAGAGCCGAGCCCTTGAGTTAGAATCATCTTAGACATATATTCGAAACTAATTTGTTTTAACGTCAGAGTCATATTCAAAAACTCAATCACATTATTGTGACATCAAGTCACTATAGTCATTTTAACAATTCAGTTTCTTACAACAAAATTTTGTATGTATCCTTATTTAATTATTTGGTCCTCAATATCCTTGCACTAAAAAATCATCTAGTTGAACCATGATTGAAGTCCTATAACAAAATCTGTGAAGTGATATAAATGAATTTTTAGATTTTTGGGAGCATTGCACGATCTTCTATAAGCAATCAGACGAAGGGACAAATGTTGTCCGATTGAGCTGAAATATTACAAAGGTCTTCCCAACTTGTTGATATTCGACCTCACAAAAAATAAGTTGATTAGGACAGGTTTTGTTGCAGTTTTTGGCCTCGTAAACAGCTGTACAGAAAGCTGCCAGATTCAACTATGGCAGCCCAATATTATTTCAGCTCACATGAATTACCTGGCAGCCCAATTTATGGGGCATGGCTCGTTGTTGTTGACACTTTTTCCTAGGGCCATGGAAGTCAGAGCATTTCTAAACTATATCCCGCAGCCCATAAATGAATATTCCAACAGCTCATTATGGCAGCCCACAAATGAATAGAAGTAAAAGTCCATCAGGTCTTATGAAAGAACAGCAGGGTATTTTTGAAACAAATATTATGATATTATCAATATCATGATTATTATGAATAGTTTATTTAGGTTTTTTATCTGGTGTACTCGATAAGAACACCTCTAAATTTGGCATGAAAAAAAATGGAAGTGATTCACATAACCTTTCGATTGAGAATGACTTTTTAGATAAAGTATGGTTGAACAAGGACATGAATATACCAGTATAATATCTGGTGCTCAATGACTTTCCAGAAGTTCAGTTTAGAGTGAATGCAAAAGACTATATGAAAAATGAA